ACAACGAGCATTATTCATGTTGGCAGTATCGACGACTTAAATTGAAATGATCTCTTCTGAGGAAAAAAAATAAATGAGGTAAAAAAAAATGTGAAATAGATTAAATTGCATAAATAACATTTTGATGAAGACTTTTTGATCGCAATTTAATCATAAATTTAAAATAATAAAATGAAAGGATAAATTTCATGTGAAAACTCAATCTTTTACTTCTATACTTTGCACAATCTTTAATATTTCCTTTATTTTTATATTAGAGGATAATATAAAGCTAATATTTCAAGTTTACTCTATGGCTATGAAATATTTAGAACAGAAGAGGTTCTAAGAGTGGAAAAATTTAAGTGACAAAATTATTCATGCGTGTAATGTTCCAGATTGTATTAGTATTTCATTAAAAGTATTAGTATATTGATCTTAACTGGATGATTATAAATATACTCTTGGAGCCGTGGTGGCTAAGAGAATAGAGCGGTTGCCTACCGATGAGGAGGCCCGGATTTGAATCCCAGGGATGGCTGGTCGATACGAATTCCGTACGCGGTTAGCACCAGCCAGAGTGATGACGTAAATTATCCTCAGTGGTAAACGGATCATGTTTTAAAGTCCCCTTGCAGTAAGGCTAACCGTAGGAGGTTTTAATTGTTTTCCTGTACACGTAACGCAAATGCTGGTTAGTTCCATCAAAAGTCCTCTACGAAGCCAATCTTCTTCCAATACTTGATCCAGGAGTTCCCTTGTCTTCTGGATTATGCTCAAAATTACAAGGCTACGGAGTAGAACATCAGTAGTCTTAAACCCGAAATTGGGTCAACATTTTAACGACGGTTATAGAATATAAAAAAGCTGCGTGGAAAGTTCGCTGGAGGGCGGTGCGGTAAGAGAAATTTGAATGAAGAGAAAACCTTGAAGTTTTAACTGCGTAGTTCAAGTTACCGGGCAACGTAAGTTCGGTCGAGTTATAAACCAATATTATTTCAAATGAAAACAGAAAGAAAGAACTAACTAGTTTGGCTCATTACGGAACACATGATAGAGTTTATTTAGGCTTACTATGCTACGTTCATCTTTTTAAGCTTCTGCTTTGTTGATAATAGTTTTGTTAGGGATATCTCTGCTCACACGATACATAGTAATGTCAAGCTGATTTCTGCTTACATTACGGAATTTTGTTCGTCTGATTTCTGGCCACAATACGGAGTAATGTACGGCTCAAATGACCCTCCAATAGCGAAAAACTTTAGATTCTACTATTTCTTACCAAGTTAATTTAACTGGGAAAATATAGTTAAACATATAACGTTATAGTGTTGTTAGTTTCTAATGTAAGGAAAATAAGCCTAAAAAGACTAATGTTGGCTGAAATAAGCCCCTAAATTATAATATTAACGGGTAATTATAGTGCATAGCTAAGCAAGTTCAAAAGTGAAGTATAAATTTTAAAAATTAGCCTAACAAAACTGTCTATCATGGACAGAACGATATGTGCAAAGGCGAATGCGGGAGAACAAAAATTCAAGAAAATAAAATAATCTAACTTAGTAGGAATAAGAAATTGAGTTATCGCTGTTTATTTAAGCAGATCAATTGCTACAGATCGAGAAAAAAAACTGAGTTATCTTTTTGATACATAATTTTACCCACGTTAGACTTGATGTTTGTAAGAAAAACCATACTTTCACCTTAAATGATTTAGTATTATTAGTCATTTAAATGCATGGTCCTTTCAAACTCGATACCTTAATCAAATCTAATTACTAATTTGATGACTTTAATTATCAAATATCTATTTATCAATACATTAGTATCATATTTAGTGATAATAAGAAAGGGTATAAAAATGGTTTATTTGATTGCGTAATATGGCAAAACGTCTTATTCAACCAGATTGTTTTACCATTCCTTCCAAAATTCGGTCTCCCAAGATGCTAACATTTCGAACTAAACTATCTTCTATAATCTTTACTAAATATGCAAGAAGCTTTTGCTGGCACATTTATGAAATTGCAAATAAGTGTGGAGAACCATATAATACATTAAGTATTTTATATCAAAGACTTAGATAACACAATTATTTTGATAAATTTATCAAAGTATTATAATATTGATCATCACCCAGCATTTTTTTCTAGTCAAAGGTAAATTCATTCAAGACTAAGATGAAACACAATAATGTGGGCAGAAACCACTCAAACTATACCGTGTACTTTGAGCAGAAATCGATTGAACAAAATTTTATGATATGAGCAAAAAGTAGCCGAACAAAACTTTGTCGTATGGATATAAGTCAGCCGGAAAAAGACTTGTCACGTGGGTTGAAAACAGCTGGACAAAGCTTTGTCACGGGAGCATAAATCAGCTGACAAAACTTTGTCATGGGGGCAGAAATCAACCATACAAAACTTTATAATGGAGGCAGAAATCAGCCGAAAAAAACGTTGTCATGAGGGTAGAAATCGGCCTACAAAACTTTGTCAAGGGGACAGAAATCAGCACGTCACAACTTTGTCATGAGTTCCTTAATCAGCCGAACAAAAATTCGTCATGCGTTCAGAAATCAACCGAACAAACCTTTATTTTGTGGGCAGAAATCAGACAGACAAAGATGTGTGATGTGGGTAGAAAACAGCCGGACAAAGCTTTGTCACGGGGGTAGAAATCAACCAGACGAAACGTTTTCATGTGGGCAGGAATCAGCCCGATGGAACTTTTGTCATGTGGGCAGAAATCAGCCAGAAAAAAAACTTTGTCATGGGGCCATAAATCAGCCCGGGGAAAAACTTGTCATAGGGGCATAAATCGGCCTAACAAAACTTTGTCATGTGAGAAGATATCAGCTTCACAAAACTTTATACATTAATATATTATTCTAGACAAAATGCTCTTTTCACACTTTTAAATTCACATTGTGTCGTTTAATCTATTTTTGACAACGACATATTAAACAGATTTATTATAATTATTAAGATTTCCCTTATTCCATAAAACGAAACCTTTTTACGGATTGCAAGATTTTCCCTAAATTTTATTGAGGAGCACTTGAGTTTTGTGTATTTGATATTCATTCTCAATTTATGATGGGTAAATAAAATTAATTTACCCTTTTTAAAATCCCTTGCCTGTTTGTCCCACCCACACGATTGTCACCTTCTAAATGCTCAAGGTATTTTATAATTACCCCGCCACTTTACGTCTAAAATAATTCTTTAAGTTCTTATCTAAATTGAAGTCTAAAAAGTAATCAGTTTGATTGACCTAATCTTGCGTTCTTCTTCAATAATTCATTTAGAATTTTTAGCAATATTTTAGGCATGAATAATGATTGGGGAAAAAAAGAAACGGGTATATTTTATTTTATTTCTATTTTTGATATAGATTCGAAGAGCTTATCATCGAGCTCACGACCATCGTTTTAAGTCACAAAAAGTGATCAGTTTGATCTAATCTTGCGTTCATCTTCAATGATTCATCGTATGTATAGTAATATAGTATATTTTAATAATATATGGTAATATTTTAGGGATGAATAATGCAAATAAATATATGTCATGTGGGTAAATAAAACAAGGGTATATTTGAATTAATTTTAATTTTTTTATTTTTGATATGAATTCTAAGGACTTACAACAGACGGTGATTAAGATAGTCATGTAAGTCGCATATTTAAGCTTAAAAACTTTTATATGTCGCATATTTCAGCCGAAATATAGGAAAAAATCAATTATGATGACAAAAATCAACTTGGACACATGCAATACAAAATTTCAAAGTTCATTTAAATCTTACAAACACTAAAAAAAAAAAAATTCAATAAGCTTGAAAGCACCTCTACTAGTAACATGTTCTTATGAACTTAAGTTTGAAACTTAGTCTCTAAGATGGATTAATAGATATTAGAATTAGATATGGGATTAAAAAGGTAACGAAACTCTTTCTCAAAGCGGAATTTAGAAAAAAATTTCTCACAACATTGACTTTAACTGTGTGTCCTGTAGCACAATCCTGTTGGAAGATCAAGTTATTGTTTGAACGAAAACAGAATACACTTTTTATCGAAAAGACTAATTAACGCAAACCTTAGAATGATTTTTAACACTAAATAAAAGAAACAAAATTTCCTTCGTTGCCCCATAAAAATATCCATTAAATTTGACGCTTCATTTATATATAACTCTTTGAAGATTTATTACACTATGGAATACAAAAGTGATAATACCTTTTTATTTTAATTTGAAGCTGAATTATGAAAAACTAAAAATTGAGGAAAAAACCAAAATTGGCTTATGTTTTTTTTAGCCAATAACCGAACACTGAAATAAGTGCTGTATTTTAGCTATTGGGTAGAACAAAGAAATTTGGGAACAATAACTTAAGCTTTCTTTGTTATTATATATATTTTGAATCTGACATTTTAGAGAAATTATAATCTAGTACATTATTTTTAAGCTTAATTCATGAAATACCAATTCATTGTATGCTTACTTATTCAATATTCAAATAAAAAGACACTTATTATTTTTATTTTTTTTTTATTTTCTGTGATATTCAATTTACATATTTTAAACTATTGTATCATAACAATGTTCTAAATTGAACTGCACATTTCAAAAAATTGTAAGACTTTCACAGCAATTATATCTTTTATGACGTCAGTTTTTTTTTCTGCCATGCTCAAATTACTGTTCTTAAAGTTCTTCAACAATACATTAAATTAAAGTAAAAATTTTTGCACATATAAAACTTTCACAACGATGTCATCTTCTTTGAGTCTAATTATTTTTCTGTGATATAAAACTTTCACTTTAACTTCTGTGATGCTCTGTTATGTTTCTGTGATGGTCAAATTACAGTTCTTATACTATCAGTCGAGCATATTATTAAATTAAGTTGCCTAGATTGGCAGATATAAGGCATATACAACGATGTTATCTTTTAAAATGCCTTTTTTTTATTTTATTTTTTATTTTTTTATTTATTTATTTATTTATTTATTTTTTTTTTTTGAATTTTTATTTTACAAACAACAATGCACCATTCAAATTTGCAAATTTCGATAGAAATATGGTGCAAACTTTTTCTTAGATGTTCGAAAATGGTATGCTCAAAATTTAATTTTTTTTTGAACAACCTGCTAAGCACTCTTGACAGGAAACGAAACAGCCTTTCTTTTTTATTTTGTTGCCAGCTTTTTCATCGCTTTCGCTGCCTTCTTCTACAGCCATGTAATCCGCTTCATCACTTCCAGCTCTTAAGTAAGACTCACAAGAGTCATATCTCCAATATCTAAAATTTAAAGAGAATATTCTCGCATTACTATGAAGCTCATGACAGTGTTTCTTGTTACATGCAATTATCGTTTAAATGCAAAATTTTGTAGAGAATAAATTGTGTTGAATTTTGGATACAATTTCAAGCTCACAGGTTTTCTAACAGTACAATATATTTTTTACAGGTGCTTGTTATTAGAATACTATTTTTTATAGAATGTAAATTGTGTTTATAATCAGCTGACCCGGATGTTCTGCAACAAGACAATGTTTTAGTTTCCTAAGCTTGTAAAAATACAAAACCACGTAGAAAGTAAATTGTGTTAAACTTCAGATAAATTTTTATAAAAAGAGAACAGTGTTTCTGTTACACAATCTTGTTTTAAAAGTATTAACTTTCGTAGCTACTAATTTGAGTTTAATTTTAATTGAATTTTGCAACGTAATTGTTTTACATCTTTTTTTTAACTTAATATTTGATAAAAAAATTTTATTATTAGAAATTATATGCATTAAAAATTTTAATCTGAATTTTGATTTCTTTTAATATATGATTATGAGTCGATATTTTGTTCTTCATTAAAATCGTACTGTCTTCCCGAATCGGAATATTCAAAATTTAGAGATCGTGTTTTAAAACAGAGCTTTAAATTTTTATAATGTTTTCGAATTCGAAAGTCTTGCTTCATGCCATTTTTGTGAAGCGTGATTAATGCCTTGTTTTAAGGATGTGAACGATAATTCTTATAATTAGAGTTGAAAACGAAATTTACAAAAAAAAGGTTTTTTGAATAAAATATCAGCGCACAGTATATCTGTGCATCAATTTTCAAATATTGTTCTTACTTTTAAGGATTTATTTGTTTGCAAATGTATTTTTTAGTTGGAAGGTGAGAAAATTTACGATGCTATCAAGAAATAAAGATTACGAAAAAAATACAGCATCTCGTCTTTATATAAAAAAAAAATTTATATTACTTAACTGTGAAGTTTTTTTGTAATAAAAATACAAGGTACAATTTTTTTGTTTTGTATTTTTTACTTCTTTCGCCAAATTAATAAAATTATATTAATTATCAAGTTTATTGTCCATGCATAAAACAAACTAATGTCTCAAGAACATATACTTTTTCGTACATTTATAATAGTTAAAATTTTAAGTTTTATCAAGATATGAAAACAGATATTATGCGAATATGAAGTATTACTATATATAAAAAAAATGGAAATTTTTCATAGAAAAAAATTGAAGCAATACATATGTTTTATAGCTGAATCTCCAATTTAAAAAAAAATCTTGAAACAGTTTAAATACCTCCTTTCCGGAATGCCATACTCGATAGAATCCTTGTCATGGATTCTATCCATGCTGTACAGTTTTGCAATCATTTCCTCAGTAAAATAACTGGAGTGCACTTTTTCATCACTATCACTAAAAAGAAAATGAATAATGAAATTTAACTTTTTTTTTGCTACATAAATTTGTTATTGAAAATGAAGTGTTTTGTAACTGTTTTTAAATTTTGAAACACAACCAATTGTTTCATGACTTCATTCATGATTAGTGGCAAATTGGATCTTTCTGATTTAATATGTTTTCGTTCTATCACATATAAGGGCATCGTTCCTAAGTTTTGCTGTTATTTTTTGAGATAACAGAGATAGTTCAGAATGATTACAAAATTCAGAATGATTTACACCAGTCACTTGCATGTTCCATAATAATGCGCATCGAATAATTATTATGCGTCATTTTAGGTAAATTTATCATGAATTTTTCTCAACATTGAGTCATTTATAAAAATGAAATTTATACGAACTAAAAATATAACGGAAAAGTCAATTTCTTCCAATTTCAATCTTTAAAACAATTTTTCTTAAGTAATACGAATAATATTCAAGATGTGTTACAACTAAGTTAGCAATACAAATATTTTTGCCGAAAACATTACCACGTAATTAAAGTATATACAAATTAATTTACCTTTTCATTTCAACCACCTCATCTTCGTCATTCATATTATCTCCATCAAATTTACTATCCATCTCATTCTTAAACTCCAATATCATTCTCTCTCTAAAAAAGAAATTATTCTCATAGAGTTCTTTTAAGCTCTAGTTTTAAATTAAGTTATGGAATCTGACTCAAAAGCGTGGTTTTCTCTCAATAAAATAAACATTCGTTTCATTCAATGCATTTGAATTTCTGACTTTCAAAAAAGTAAGAACAAGTAACTGAAAACAAGGTTTTGCATGGTTTAGTCAAGAGAGCTGTCTGAAATTTCGTCCCTTTTGTTGGGTTTTACTTTCTGTTAATTTCATTTTTTAAAATAATTTGGGAAACATTATTAAAAATGATAACTTTTTAATATACCTTTCATCAAACTCATCTTCGTCTTCCTCAGACATAACCTCTGCCTCTATCTCAATCATATCCTCATCACTTTCAATGCTAAAGATATAAAAGAAAACAATTCTTTTAATTCGAAAGTTAAAAATAGAAATTTTTAAGAAAATTTTTTTTTAATCTAATATTCATGTTGTATATAAATTTAGTTCAACATTTTCAAACATGAACTTTGTAACAACTGCTTATAACTTCATTCTAAGCAGCAAAACATTTGCTTGCTAAGAATTATGATGTTTTCAAATTATGTTTAAAACATTGATTTCATTTTTAACAAAATTATCACGGGCATCGGTAACTTCCATATTTTTTAGGTAGCAGAGCTTTCTGTAAAACTTAGAGCAATATTTATGTTGTGCGTTATAAACGTAAAATGTATCTAAAAGAAATATTCATGCATATTTTTAACAGCAAAATAGTTGTCCTAAAATATCTATCAAAAAATAATATCCTTTATTTAATGTTTTTTTTTCTAAAATTAAAATTAAGTGGACCAAAAATTCATCTGGGTCTTTTAAAAAGTCGCGTTAAATTTTAATATTTTTGGCTCTAATTTTTAAACAGAGATGCTGCTAAAATAAAAAATAAAAAATTTCTTTTGTGTGTACGAAGGGAACAAAAGTTGTTGTTTTTTTTAATGGCGGGCTCTTGGGGTTTGTCCCATTGGTCACAGAAATGCCAGAACTGCTACTCTCTTCTCGTTACCCAGTGCGCACCTGTGACGAAGCCACGGCGGTGGAGCAGCGTCGCTGACGTCACACAACCACAAACCCGTAAATTGTCCGCCCCTGGGATTCGAACCCCTAAGACATTTACAGGGCAGATTTCTTGGCCTCTCTTTCAGGGGTACCATATTAGGTGGGCCAACGTTGCTCCCAGAGTAAGGACAGACAAAATAAATTAATGGTAACATTTTTCATTGAATTATATTTCCATCTTTCCTTTGCTAGATCACGTGATATCGCGATATTCTTCCCTACAAGTTGCGTCAATAAAGCAGGTAGCAAGATCATGCAATTACTTTAATAGAAAATGTGGTGTTTTCTCATAACAATGGCACATTGTTTATTAAAATGAGCAATTGTAAAATTTAAAAACTGAAATGGTTGCCAAAATAAGTTAATTAAAATTTGATTTTATCTTTATAGATTATCCCTCTTCAATTTCAAAGTACGACCCCCTGCATTCGGCTGGAAATGAACGTGATAAAACGGAAAATTCTTAATTTTATTTTCATATTGTTAAGAGGCCCATCTCCTGCTCGCTTTGGTCCCTAACCCCAAATGCATGCTTTGCATCTTAGTTTCGCTTTCAAACGGTGAATTTTTCTTTAAATATTACGCTAATGTAAAAGACTCTTTGTAATTACACTGAAGCAAACTATTATTTTATAATAAGCTCATTCCATTTCTTTTGCATATTTCCCTCTAAGGTTTCTTAATTATTAAGTTTACCATGAGTAATGTAAATTGAAACTCAAATTTTCTTTTTTTTTAAAGTTTTTACATTCCGTTTACATTCAGATATTTTGCAATTTATATTAGCTACGAATGCATCCTTTTCCGAAATAACGAAAAAAAGACTATAATAAAAGTTTATTAAAAATTCCAGAGAAACATTTATGCTGTACACAAGTTTTAGATAGTCCTTAACTGTTCTAGTCAGCTATCCATATATATTTAAATTTACAAAAATATGAAAAATATGATTTTTATACATACGATTAGGTCTGGGATACTTCTCCCGTTCCTTCTCCCAATTATTCAAGAGAGTAAATATATAATATTCACTCATAATTTCAATAAGCGCCTTTTTGAATTTTTACTCAAAAAGTAAGTAGTTCACTTGAGAAATCTCAAACAGGAATGAGAAATTAACATTTTTCATACTATTGTTGATGGATTTTAAAGATGTTTTGCCAACAATGTTTTAAAAGCATACTCATTGTTCAAACAATGGCATAAATTTAGTTCTTCATATATTTTTGTAACAGTTTATTAAACTTGGGTATTTTTGTAAATATTTTTAGATTATTTTAAATTGTATAGTACAGAGAACAATAATAATGGTTGAAATATTTCTAAATATAATTAAATTATTTTATTTTTAACACAATATCTTTCAGTAAAATGAATTAATTCATAATTTCATTAAAATGAATACGGCAGTGACGGATTTGAAAACAAAGATTGTAAAATATAGCATAGTAACCAAAAATGAGATTTCATCAATACTGAACGAAAATTATCACCAAACCAAGGGGGGCCCCTATTCTACACTACTAGAGCAGATAATATTAATCTTCTTATGATTAAGGGCATAATTCTTAAGATGGTGTTTCAAAAAACAGCAAATGTTTTTAAAAAACATTGTGTTATAGTTTTGTTTTGTCAGTAGTGCCATATGGGGAACGATCTTGAAAACAAATTTTGAAACGGGGCAAGTATAAAAAATCTCATCTTCTTCGTAAAACTTTACAAATGTTTTCTTTTAATTGCTTTTTTAAATCATTAGTATCTTAGGATACACTGTAAATGTGAATGAGTTTGGGAAAAATATAAATAAGTAAAAAATATAAAATTTAGTTAATATCAATTACTTCTTTTTTAAATGAATTGACATAACATATATTAATTTTATACTTAGACGGAAGTTTGATTAGTTCCTCTCAAAAAATATTTTACTGACTTTAGTTTCTGTTCTTAGTATCAACAAGATGTATAGATAAATACAACATTATATTACAAATCTAAAAATGTGTATTGCTTAGGAACTTTAATATGAAATGCAATTAAATTTTTTATGTGGAATAAAACAATGTTTATCTTACTCATCTTCACAAAGCATTTTATTGATATTCACAAGTCAATAACAAACATTTCCTTAATATTTTTATTTTGATTAAAATCTTAACTCGTTAATTAACTCTCTCTTAGTATTATTAGAATTTTTTTTTCTCGCTTAACTTATCAAAGGTTTAAAATAGCATTTAATCCCACTCCTAGACAAATTTGAGTTATTCAATTGTTAACATACAAGATAAAGAGGTGGTCAGGTTACAAAAGTTTTGCACCCTTTTATTAAATTGGATAAATTTAGCTTTTGATAATAGAGGTAAACTTATTTAACAAGTTTTACTGTATTAAAAAAAATCGGTGGTTTGTTGGAAATTACTGTTTCAAAGTTTTAGTACCTTAAATTGAATCGAAAGAGATATTTACCTTTCTGTTAGACTTCGCAAGAAGGATAACAAATGCTAAGTTTATTCAAATGAAAGAGGATATAATTCTTCAGTAGCTGTGATATATGGAAAAATAAAATACTCCAGGCTTACTTTATTATTCAGTATGACCTGCAAGAGATTCAAATTATATTTATGCAACGGGATTTTTCATTTAACTTTCTTTTAACCAATCAGGACTTAGATTGGTAGTAGTAATTTTTAGGTAAAATCTTAGTTTATTCCCAGTTCTTACATTCTTAAACTTTCCTAAATAAAAAATATTATTCTATTTTTAAACAAAAGAACTCAGAAAAAATTTTAATTCATATTCAAGTAAGAATTATTTATTTGTGTCCTTCACTTACAGACTTTTCAATTAGTTAGGCACTTTGGTAGCAACCTTATTGTTAATATTGTTGTTATTTATCAATTTTATTAAAAATAATGTATGATAATTATGACTTTAATTAATTTAATTCAGTTTCAGTATTGTATATTTTGCTTTTTTTTTAAATCTTAATAGTTCATATTGCTGTATTTGCCCAATCCTTGATTATTTTTCTAATTTTACTTCAACCCTGATTATTGAAATAAATTAGATAATTAAAGATATTTATTATGAAATAAATAATCTTAAATGTTACCATTTTTTATTAGGTTTCCTCTGTAATCAGTAGGCCTATGCTTATACATATATTAAACACTGATTGTTGCATGCTTTGGCTAAGGAAGAAAACACTATCACCAAAAAAGAAAGGAAAAAATTAGTTTTTCCACATAATTAATTGGTCAGTTAATAACGAAATTTATTTCAGAAATAAGCATGTCTCTCATTTAATAACAGAAGACCTTTCCCTATAATCAATACTTAATATTAGTATCAATAACTTCTGCAATTTTCACTTGATTTCTTTGAAAAAATTTAAGAGTGTTTATGAACTTTGAACCTTTCTTCCATTTTTTTAGAAAATAAAATGGCATGTTTAAGAAAAAATGTCTTTAAAGTATTAAATACCTTATTGGGAAAAAAATCTGATGCGTGATGTCATTAGTCATTGACAAATAATGACATTAGTGATACAATGATAGAAATTGGCAAAAATATTCATGAGAATTAGAAATATTTTTAATGTGTGCATGAATGCGAGATAGGCCTACCTTTTAAATTTTTTAAGAAATGTTTTCGATTATGTAATTATGATAAATTTTGAAGACACGATCAACTTGAACATTAACTTTGAAAAATTCTCTGTAAGTGTTTTCTTTAAAATCATTGTTGTAAGCTATTATTTAAAAAGCCATTTACGAATGTCATATTTTTTCAGACTTAAAAAGTGCATAATTCATTTTAAAAAATTATCCGTTCTAGTAATGTTTGTCAAAATAAATAGGTGTCATTTAACATTTATTTCAATTTCTATTAACTTTTTGTACTGTGTCGTGTACATAACAGCCAGTTGTTAGTTTTTAAAATTAATTTTGATATTTATAAATTTTAGAGCAAATGTTCAACAACAGCAAACGTTCAAACGTTAGCAAACATTTGAAATGCTTAATTGAACATGAAAATTTAATGTAATGAAATATTTCAAATGAGAAACTTACTGCACACGATGGAATCTTGCCCAAAAAGCTCTCATTCCTAAGTAGGTCACAAGTGAACGGTAACTGCATGCAGCTGTTAATTTCAGATACTATCTTTCTTACTTGACTCAAAACTCTTCAAAATACAAGTACATCCACTCCCTACAAACATAATATCTAATAAATACTTCAATTTTCAGAAAAACGCTTTTTTCTTTTAATATTTAATTTATTTTTAAGATTTATTAAAACTTTGCATA